TTCTAATAGATCTTCCTTCTCCCATGTGATCTTCTTTGCATTGCAAGCTAGGGCTTCGGCATAGGGTCCAACTCCTTTACCATATTATTGTGAGTAAATTTGTAAACATAAAATTATGGGCCTCTAACACTTCTTGTAAACAAATGCTGTGGTATGCCTCAAAATGTGTATACCATATGCATCGATGTTAGACATTTTTATGGCACATGTTATGTATTTTTGTAGTATATGTTACAGATTTTATTTAGTAAAGTTACGACAAATTGTAGTTAAGAAATGAAGTTAAAAAATAAAGTTACACATTTTATGGCATTGTTACTTATTTTTGTGGTAATATTATATATTTTTTTTTGTTAGAAAATGTTTGAATAAAAAAATATATAACTTCACCACAAAAATGCACAACATTATCACAAAATATGTAATTTCATTTCAGAATAATCAGAATCACAAATAATCATAACTTTATCAAAAAAATTACGTAACAATTTTTACAACAATACATAACATACAACACAAAAATACATAATAAGATGTATATGATACACCATTTTTCCAAACTTCTATACTTTTGGCGGGACTAACTCTCCTTCATACCTTCATCTCTTCATGCATCTCCATATTCCTCTTGTGAGCTCTAATTCGAAGCCGCACCAATAATCCGAATTGTCTATCTCGTAGGCACTGTAATAAAAATCATCCATATAAAAAATCAGCTCTATTGGACAACTATAAACACATGAACAAATCACAATCAACTTGTTTGGTTTTGATTGATTTTTTGAAAATTAAATTTATTATTTTTCGTATTTTTTATTTTTGGTGCATTTTTTTAATATTTTAAGTAATGTTTTTTTTAATTTTTAGATGCACATAACTTAGATGCAGCTAAAATATAAAATACTTGTAAAAAAACTATTTTAAAAAATCAATAAATAAATAAGAATGCAAAAATGTATTGAATTTTTATATTTTTTTTATATGTTTTGTATTTAATGAGGTTTTAAAGATTTTTTTTTCATAAATATTATACTTTTTAAGTGTATCTACGTTAGGTGAATCTAAAAAATAAAAAAATACAAAAAACAAAAAAACTCAATTTTCTGAAAAGTGAGTTGAATTTTCTAAAACCAAACAAGGTGATTTTGTTTTATAAAATAAATAGCAAATATGATTATGAACTTAAACTATTTATTTTATAAAACAAAATGTGATTTATTCTTATTTTTATAATTGTCTGATGAAACTGATTTTTTGCATGAATGACATTTATTGCGGTACTTACGAGATAGACTGTTTGGATCATCCGTGTGAATCCAAATTGAGACTGACGAGAAAAATATTAGGATAAATTACACTGATACCCCTTTAAGGTTTGAGTTTGATACAGATTCCTTTTCCACCTTTCAAAAATTACACTGCACCCCTTGTCAGTGTATGGCATTTAACTGGGTTAACAGAAAACATAAATTTACTTTAATACCCTCACACTTAAAAGGAAAATTACCAAATTATCTCACCTAATAACAAACTTTTCTTTCCATAGAACTCTCACTGCTCCCTCTCTTCCATTCGTCATCTCTCTCTGAGACCACCCTCCATAACCCATCTCATTCATGTTGAAATTTCAGTGCTCTTTTGTTAGTTATGACTTGTGGGTGCCTACGTTTTGTTGACTAGGTGTTGATTTTACCATTTGCTTTTGAGATTTTGCATTAGTTGTTTTGCAACAAAAACTCTTAAGCATTTGTTAGTAAAAATTATGTTGGGTCTAGATTGACAGCAATCAAACAATAATAATAAACTAAACAATTTATACAAGAACAATCAAATTGTGGTACTGGTTCAATGCCTTAAAAGGATGAGAACTTCTTTGGATAAACAGATGGTAACAAAGTAAACAAGTAAAACAAAGTATTTTATATCAACTGATGGTAACAAAGTAGACAAGATAAACAAAAGTAATTTCAGTTTGAAATCACCAAAAAAGTTCACCCAATTACAAAGTTCAAATTACAGTGGAAGAAACTACTCCTAAGTTACAATCTAAATTACTCCTAAGTCTAAAAAACTAAGTCATTATGCTGTTGTTGATGTCTTCTCCAATCTGTCTTCTATCTATTTATAAAGTAACAATTGATAGTTTCCCATTCGAAGTATAACTGCTGAGGGCATTTTGGCCACTTCATGGAACAAAATCAACTCTTGTCCCTTATAAAATGCTAAACTGTCACACGTTGCCAATTTTCATCATTAGTAAACAATAAAAAAACAAATAATAATAATACTAATAATACAAATGTTTGTGGCCATAATTTATATTAAAAAATCAATTTATGGTCTAAATTGACAGACCAAAATCGACTGGTCACAATCAATAATATTAGATTTGGCCATGATCAACAGGTCACAATTGACAGAAAACAATTTATAATGCAAACAATGCCCCAACTCCTTAAGAATGAGAAATCTCAAAATTCTTGAAGAGTTGTATATAAAATTTATTTGCGTGGACTTTTTCACCAAAAAGACATATATAAAATATATGTTGTGAAACATGTATAAACTACTTATCACCAAAATCAAATATATTCTTTGGTCTTATATTATTCAAAGAATGTTGGATCTTTAGCCAATTTATCAAAATTAAGTCTTGGTGTGATCCACAAACCCAAAATGGGTGTTGAATGCCATAATTCATAGTTTTGCATGGCTCAAAATTTCTGAAAAATTCAACATTTTGAACAATGTCAAAAATATTAAAATCAGCATGAAGTGATTGTTCATCATCTTTAGCCATAGTTGGTTTGAAATCAAACTTTTTAACCACATTGTCTGCATTACTCTTTGAACTGAGATCTGCAAAAAAGGGCTGATTTTTTCTTTCACACATTAATGGGTTGGAAATATTTTTTGACAACCTAGAAAATACTTCTTCCTTGTGAAATTGCCCCTCCACCATGGAATTTTTATTCTCATGGTCTTCACTCGTAACAATTGATGAATTAACTTTTTCCTCATTCACAACCCTTGAAGGCTTAGGAAGAATAATTGAAAAGTCACAAATTTTGGTTTCTGTAAAAATTTTCAATGTTTCCTTCCATTGATGAATTTCGATCTCAAAAAGGTCAATTTGATTATCAAGTTGACCAATCACTCTCGTGTTTCTAACCTCAAATAATATGATAATGGCATTATTGTTTGAATTTTTGCCAATCAAGATAATCAATTTTTCTTGTAAATATAAAATTTCATTCTCACACCAATACATTTCATCTTCACAAAACCAAATCACTTCATCTATTTTTCTCGACACGTCATTTCATGCACTACTACAAAAATAGTTAAAGATCACACTTTGTCCAAAAAAAAAAAAAAGATCTCACTTTTATTAGAAGTGTGATAAAAAAAATTAGATTGATATTTTAATCACACTTAATTTGATTGAGTGTGATAATATTTATTTTTTATGTCACTTTTCAATTAAATGTGATTATATCTATATTTTTTAATAACACCTTCTAATTAAAGTGTGATTATATATACACTATTACTTTTTAATCACACTTTTTAAACAAGTGTGATTATATATATTTTTTAATCACACATTCTAATTAAAGTGTGATTATTTTTATATTTTTTAATCACACCTTCTAATTAAAGTGTGATTATATATACACTACTACTTTTTAATCACACTTTTTAAACAAGTGTGATTATATATATATTTTTTAATCACACATTCTAATTAAAGTGTGATTATATATACATTTCTACTTTTTAATCACACTCCCTAAATAGGTGTGATTGTATAAAATATTTCAATTTGATTTTTATATAAAATATATAATTCCCAAATCCGTGCCTCTATTCTACCCATGAATGACAGAGGACGACTCACTACTAGAAAAGGAGGCTTTAGACACGGAACTCTTTGCAACGGTATGAAAATCGTCGTAAAAAGTAAGATTTTGATATGGCAAAAAAAATCATCGCGAAATTAATTTTTTTGCGACAGCATTTGACTGTCGCAAAAAAGGCATCGACTAAATACCATTATTAGAGACAAAAAATCGAAGGCCGTGACAAAAAGTAATATTATACGCAACGGTACATTACTTGCCCTTTTTTTTTTTTTTTTTGCAGCGCCTTTTGTTAATCCGTCGCAAAAGATTTTATTTTGCTCATTAATAAGGATCCTTAAACTCGTCGCAAAAACTTAATCCCTAATTACCTTCGCACCCTCCCCCACCCCTTTCCTTGTTCTCGCTCATCCGTAAACTTTCAGACTTCTCTTAAGATTTAAAAAAAAAAAAAATTGTTAGCCTTATTGATGGTCATATTTGGTTTAATTTTTTGAAACTTGTTTAAGATTTTTTTTAAAGACTAAAAATTAGTTTCGTTAAAAAATTAAAAACATTTATTAATTTTTTATAACTTTACAAAAGATATGAGTAATTTTTAAAAGAGCATTGCTGGCACCTCTAGTAGGGGTGAACCCCAGCACCCCACCTCCATGTGGGGGGGCTGTGATAGCAAGGTCAAAAAAAACAAAAAAAAAACAAACAATAATGACCTGGACCTTTTTTTTTCCCACCCCCTTTGACTCCCTCTTCACATGATTGGTCACTTTTTCTTTTTTTTTTTCCTTCTCCTTCAATCACCACTTGCCACGTGTGTGTGGAGGTTGTGAGGGTGGTGATGAAAGGGGTCTGAATCATCACTCAAAAAAAAAAATAATAATAATAATTTTCAGCCAATAAAAAATCAGTGGGGTGATGGGGTCACCCCACTCGGTCCAAGGTATTTTCCTTTTTAAAAATTGAAAAATGGATCCCTATATAAAGCATGAATGCTGGGTGCTGAAAACCTAAAATGAAGTCGTTTTGAGCCATAACTCTGAACAAAACCCTTCACTTTCTCTCTATCGCACTATCTCTCCTCTCTCTCTCTCTCTCTCTCTCTCTCTCTCTCTCTCTGTGTTTCATGTCTCCGCAAAAACTCTTCAAACCCCTACCCCCTCTCTCCATCAAACCCCAAATCCCAAACCCAAACCCCAACCGGCATAACAATGAGTGAGAAGGAGAAGATGGACAAAGAAAATACACAGAGATAGAGCTCTGAACCAGAAGAAAAGAACAAAGAAAGATAAGTAACGATGGAGAGAGAAGCCGGCCGAAAGGAGACGGAAGAGACGAACGCACGCAAAGAACACTTCCACCCTTCAACCAGGTTTGTAGATTCAAACTAGGGTTTTGATTTGGGGATTTTCACTAAAAAATCTAGGTTTTGATTTGGGGATTTTCACTAAAAAATCTAGGTTTTGATTAACTCCAAAATTATGTAAAATTAGTGAACCTTAAGGAACTCTAGGTTCTTGAATTAATTATGAAAGCATGTGATTATATTGTTTTAGATTGTGAATTTTTCTCTTTTTTTTATAAACTTCTTGAATTTGAGTTGGGAAAAATATCTTCAATGCCAATTGCTTATTGTGAAATTGGGTTCTTTAATGGGTTGAACACGAATTTTTTTTTTTAATTTGTTATTCTAAAACAATTGATGTTTTTTTTTAATTTTTATTTATTTATTTAAAGGTTTGATTGTTTGATGGTACTTGATTATCGATGTGATGTTTTTTTTTTATATATATCAAATTATGTATATGGTTCATAGGATGATTATGCGGCAGATGATGAGGAATACGACGAGAAGTTGAAGAAAGAGAGTTCGGCATTTTTCTTTTTAGCTACGTGAGTTTTTAATTCCTACCTGCCTCTTTAATCACATACAGACATGATGTATATATTTATATCTGATTGTTTGTAACTTTGTGTGTAGGTGTAGCTATGTATTAAATTTATTTTCTTGTTTGTTTGTGCTGTAGATATGGAGATGGTGAGCCAACGGACAATGCTGCAAGGTTCTATAAATGGTTCACAGAGGTAAATTTGAATAATTTCAGTGTATATTGATATTATGGTTCTTTGAGAAAGTAGATTTGGGGGGGTTCATTGTTTGTTATATATGATTTTTCCTAGGGTAAAGAGAGAGGGGAATGGCTTCAGAATCTTACTTATGGAATGTTTGGCCTTGGCAACAGACAGTATGAGTACTTTAATAAGGTCTTAATTGAATTTCATCTCATCTTTTTATCAACTTAATGTATATCTATGTGTACATGTAGATGTTGCTAATTGGCTAAAAAGTTTGAATTTGTATGTTGTTGGGAAACAGATAGCAAAGGAGGTGGATGAGCACCTTGCTGAGCAAGGTATGTTTACGCTCTTCTAGTGACCTTTTTTGTCAATTTATGGAAACACTTGTTGTAATGCTTATTAGTTTGTGATGTGTACTTATTGTGCACTTGTTACCTTGAGTTGGTGTTTAATAAATACGTGTACTTATTGTAATGCTTATTAAGTGTTTAACATGTTTAATAAACCCTTGAGTTCTTGATTTTCCCTTTTGTCCGTTACTTTCAGCAACAAGTAGGTTGGTCCGATGGCAATGGAGCCCGAATTTGGAGTTTCTACTCCGCGAAACCCTTCTCAGGTTTGATGGAGCCTCTCTTTCTGAATTATTATTATTATTATTATTATTATTTTTATTATTATTATTTCTCTACATTCTATAGTTTGATTTGTTTTCTTTAATTCTTTATTACCTTCTTACTGCTTGTATTTGATTTATGCTTATGATACAAAAGTTTTGTTTTAAACATTGTCAATTCTAAACTTTGACATGTGCAGGGTATAAATTCAATAAGGGAATCTGCACAAGTCTAGTTTTGTTGTCACTACTAGTTTTGAAAAGGATTACTTCTGGTAATTTGACTTTCTAAATCAGCAACTAATATCTGCAGGGGTGGTGGTGGTGACTTGTGCACTCATTGTTTCAATGCCTGGGAAAAAAAGAAAGACAAAACTAGAAACGGAAGGAGTTCAGCAAAAAGGAAGTCTTGTTCGATATGGATTTTTAACATTAGCTAGTTCAGGTAATGAATTTTTTTAGAACTCACAAGTTTTAGAACTCAAATTTTTTAATTTTTAATTTTTATTTTTCAGACCTGTTAGAGATCTATATATATAAGTGTGAGTGAGTGAGTGTGTTTTCTCTGAAAGTTTTAAGTTGTATTATTGGTCTGTCATAAGTTGGGTCACCATACAAGAACAAAAAGGTTCTCATCCAATTCCCATTTGTAGCATTGCTCTGTTTTTGTTGATGTGCAGAGCATTATGAAACTCTGCTTACATAGTGTTGGGTCACCATACTATTTTTGTATTATTGGACTATCCTTTTCTCTTTTTTCTTTTTTTGTCTCTTTTTGTAGCTTTTAATTTTTGGTGGTGGCAAAATAAGACACACTCATAGTCAGTAGCAGAACTTCATATAATTGGATTAGAATTATATGACATAATTGCTTCTTTTTATTTTATTTTTATTTTTTTTATATCATAATAATGTGCTAGGCTTTAGAAGCTTAGGTTGCTGTTAGAGAGGAGTTGTATTAAGATGTTACACCAACAACTCAGTTCCTACCCTTTTAGCAGTAAGTTTGTATTTGTGAGTGGGTGGTGGCCACCTTCTTTGGTTTGAAGCTTTCCATTGTTTTTGTCAAATATTATCATTGTATGTGGTTAGTAGTTTTTTTTGGGTGAATATGTGGTTAGTAGTTGCTGATTGATTAGAACTGAAAGTGCAGGAAATATGCGGAAATGATGTACCTCTGAGCAATTACAATGGGAAATAAGCAATTACAATGGGAGGTTGTTCTGATTGTGAATGTTGCTTCAAAATGGCAAGTGACTTTATATATCCTAGTTAGTCAAATCTATTATATTTACATGGTTAATTTGCCTCTTCTTCTTCTTCTTCTTCTTCTTCTTCTTCTTCTTCTTCTTCTTCTTCTTCTTCTTCTTCTCTCTTTTCTTTTGATAATCATTCATACTTAAAAAATTCTTTGTTTTTGTTTTTGTTTTTGTTTTTGTCCTTGCTGTTAATTACTTTATTGATCTTTGGGCCATATTCTTCTTCTTTTATTTCCCTAGGAATATTCAGAGCTCTTTGGATTTATTCATAATGCTACTTCTTTCTTGAAACCTACTTCGTTGCTTGGCATATGACTTGTTGTTTATTGTTTGTTTGAGTTTACAAAGATAATATAGACTACAAAGTTCTTTTAATCATATTCAAGTTGTTCAATTCAAACTAACATAAACTTTTCTCACTTTTTTTGGCTCCCTTTTGCAGTGGCTTAACACAATCAAACTACAAAGAATTGAACATTTTATATGAAAAATATAAAGATCAAGGTCTGTTAGTTATTCAACTCCAGTTATTTGTATGTTTCCTTTCTATAATTTCAAAGAGTTTGAGGGGTCTTAATCTTAGGAATCAACTAATGCAATGGAGAAGGTCGGAGGTATGCTTTTTATGCTTCCATGAATGTCTCATTTCAGCATCATTTGTTTCCTTAGCATGGTTGTCAATATTACTAAGCTATACTGATGGTTCACTACTGATGGAGAATAAAAAGGAGTCCATTGAAAAAAATGGAAGATTAGAATTTTAGTTTATTTGTGAATTTTAATTTATTAATGAAATCGAATTTGTTTAGGATTTTATTTTTAGTTTATATTTGTGTCCTTGTTGGAATTTATTCGTTTGGTTTGCCTATATATTGCTTTGGATGAACTATTACATCTAGAATTAAAAATTGTTTATGAAGATGCTGATGAATTTTTGAAATTAAAAATTCTTTTACTGTTGTAGCATTCTAGTAATTGCCCTTTTTGGGCAACTTACTGATAAGTCCCATGTACTAAGTTCAAAACCCAGCTAATCCCAAAACAAAATACTTGCACCAATTAGTCCAATACATTTTTAATTGTTACCAAAAAATCCTTTTTTTTTTTTAATTTACAGACATTGTTCACATCTTACTACCGTCGGACTTCCGTCAAACGGTCGCCGGAGACTCGTCGGAATGTTCAACATCGCCGGAGACTCGTCGGAATGTTTAAAACATGTTATGAAACTGTAAAATTTTACAGTTCTAAAAAATGTTATAAAACTGCAAAATTTTACAGTTTTAAACCATGATTCATTCCAGCACCAAAAAAAAAAATTGAAACTGCAAAATTTTACAGTTTTCACCGCCTGTAACTAAAACTCAAAAATTACTTGTTCAGAATTTGAAAATTTTCTCATTACAAATCTGTGTGATATCTGTACAAATCTGAGTCATTACAGATCTGTTTCAATGATATTATAAATCTATTTCATCATCAACAACAACAACCATAGATCAACAACTATCCCAAAAAAAATCTGTAAATAGAGAGAGAAAGAGAGAGAAATTGACAAAGATATATAAACAAATCTGTTCAATCTAAGCACAGATCTGAGGATGAGCGTCTTCTTGTTCTTGTTCTTCATCGTCTTCTTGTTCTTGTTCTTGTTCTTCATCGCCTTCTTGTTTGACTTTAGGACTGAGATTAGGGTTAGAGGAGGAGACGTAAAGAGGGAAGCAAAAAGCAGAGAGAGAGAGAGAGGGGAAAGGACTTTTGGGTGTACTCAAAAAGTTATGGGATTAAATGGTGTCCACATGTTCCACATGGGACTTATGGGTAATTTCCCCTTGCTTTTTTGTAGATGGATTTTTATGGAATGGGCCAAATGAGGGGTTTTGGTTTCCTTATTGGTTTTGAATTGTTGTGTTTTATCAGTGCCACTGTTTTGTCAAAGCTGGATACTCATGATCATGTCATTGGCAAGATGGAACCAAATTATTGACGCTTGGATTGATGAGTTGGATGATGGTTTTATAAAGATGTACTTTGATGATATTTTTTGTATGACTGATTGAGATAATTTTTATGCACTATTTCCCCAATTCCGTATAATGTTTTATGGATGTGTTGATTACAATATATTGAATATGTAAAAATTGTGATCCTGTGTCATGCTATATTTCAAGTTGCGTTCTTGGTTAAATTGTTTGACCCTGCGGTGTGTAATGCAGAATCAGTCCCACTCACACCCCCCCCAAAAAAAAAAGAGTAAAAGGTGGCATTTTTTTGAAAAAACGCCACTAAATGATGTGTGTCAAATGTTATTTCTGACGAAATTGTAAGCGGCTGTCAAAGTTTTTAGCGACGTTTTTCAAATGTTGTAAAGATATTGCAACGGCTGTATCAGCGACGAAAATATTAAACGTTGCTGTAATCTTTTATGGCATTTTTCAAGATTTTACCGGCATTTTTAGAACGCCGCTAAAACTCAAAATTCCTGTAGTGATGTGATCTAAATATTATTAATCACACTTAAAATGTGTGATCTCAATATTTTTAATCACACTTAAACGATGTGATCTAAATGTTATTAAGCACACTTAAAAGGTGTGATTAAAAATGAGCCCTTTTAATCACACTCCTAAAATCACACTTTAATAAAATTTAAAAGGTGTGATTAAATAACATACATCACACAAAAAAAGTGTGATCTTTATCTGTTTTTGTAGTAGCGATGGAAATCCACTCATTGGAACATCATGTGACTGTGTTTTCATACCGTATTTCAGATCTTCTTGTACTTTATCTTGCCTTCGAATTCTTGTCATCATTCCAAATTAAGAAGAGGTCCCACTGGGCGTGTCAAAAATTGTTTATAAAAATTATGTTGGGCCTAGATTGACAGCAACCAAACAATAATCTTAAACTAAACAATTTAAACAAATTGTGGTACTGGTTTGAATGCCTCAAAAGGATGAGGAATTGATGGTAACAAAGTAGACAAGATAAACAAAAGTAATTTCAATTTAAAATCATCAAAGTTCACCCAGTTAAAAAGTTCAAATTACAGTGGAAAAAACCACTCCTAAATTACAATCTGAACTACTTCTAAGTCTAAAAAACTAAGTTGCTATGCTATTGTTCATGTCTTCTCCAATTTGTCTTCCGTTTATTTGTAGAGTAACAATTGACAGTTTCTCATTCGAAGTATAACTGCTAGAGGCAGTTTGGCCATTTCATGAAACAAAATCAACTCATGTCCCTTATAAAATGTTAAAGCTGCCACATGTTGTCAACTTGCCACCATTTTCCAAGCCCATTTCCATCCTCTGTAAACAATAACAAAACAAATAATAATACTAATAATACAAATGTTTGTGGTCATAATTTATATTAAAAATAATTTATGGTCTGAATCGAAAATCAAAATTGATAGGTCACAATCAATAATATTAGATTTGGCCATAATCGGCAGACCACAATCAATTGAATTTGACCACAATCGATCGGTCACATTTGACAGAAAACAATCTATGGTGCAAACAACATATTACATGTTTGATTAATTGATTCAAAGAAGTAATTTTCTCTCAGCATGAAAGCCTGATTTGATTTGTTAGGTGATGATGTGGTAATGCATGGTGGTGATGTGGAGCAAGAAGAGAATGATGATTGATTGTTGTTTGTATGGAAAAAAAAAATACACAAAGGAGGGAAATTAAGAAACGGTAAAACTAGAATTACAAAAATGACAGTTAACATTAACAAAAGCCATTAGTCGGAATTTTTAGAATGTAAGGGAGGTTTAATTTTCATTTAAAGGGTGTCCGTGTAATTTATCCAAAATATTAAGGAATATGACGAGAAGTATGGAAGCAGCTTATCCCATATGTGGCAGTGCATTAATATAGAGTCAACTTGACTTTTGGAGTTAGACAAAGTACTGAATGTCCAAATTATAATGTCATTACTGATGACGTCTCGGAAGTAGGAGTGCAATTTAGGCGGGTTTAATTCGAGTAATCTGAATTTAGTTTGAATTTTTTTAGGGTCCGAATAAGATATTTTTAAATTCGGTATGGATTTGGACAAAAATACAGAAATTCGAATTAAATTTGGATGGATTTAGGCAAAAACGTCAAATAACTCGAGCAATCCAAAACCTGAATTATACATATAAAAGGGGTGTTTGGAAAGATGAGTTTGAGGCTAAAATAACCTCAAACTAAAAAAAAGCCAAAAAACTCCTAACTTAACACTTTATAAAAAATAAAAAATAAATAAAAAAATAGCTGAAACCGTGGGATAGTGTAGGCACATCCTACACTGTCACACTGAAAAGTTGTCCCATCTCTTGGTAAACGACGATTTTGCCCCTTTACATTAATTTTGAAAAATGTGATGTTAGGGATAAATTTGTCATTTTAACTTTAATCATCATTTCAACATATTTTTCAATACAACAACTCAAATAAAAATTCATCCCATCTTTCCAAACACAAAAAGTAAGGCGTGGGCAATGAGTTATGTGGCGTTTGATGGCACACTTTGCACTTTGCACAGACACAAAGGCGCCATGAGGGTGCTTTCCTATTTGCATAGGACATGTTGGAGTGATGACGTGGATCCGACGTGGAATACAGTCAACTCTACGTGGTAGTGATGTGGCATTCGTTGGCGATGAGTTAACCAACCGATCGAACGATTGCGTGTCCAATCTGGAGCGGTTTGATCATAGTCGTTGATTGGAGATGTGCTCGATTGTACAAATGAGATGGCACCCGATTGTGATCAGGTGTGATCAGTCAAGGAAGCTGTTCGGTGTGAGAATGATCTGCACCATAGATCGTCGATCCAATGGTTAGATCTTCGATCCAACGGTTAGATCTGATCGGATGCGATCAAGGGACATGACCATTCGATTAGATGCATTAAGGCCTATAAATAGGCTGCGAATTCAACCATTTCAATCCATCCAAAAATTTACAAAGCATTCTTGTAATTCTCTCTGTCTCTCTCTTTCTCTCCCCCTCTTGATTTAGAGTTTTTGATCAAGAGTTTCTTAAGCACATTTCTACTTTTCTTGCTGGTAATCAAGTTCTGCAGATTTGATTATTAGTGTCTTGATTTTCTTGATTATATCAAGAGTATTTTGATCTACTGTCGTCAGTGTAGACACCGGTAGGCTTAATCTTTAGATTAGGTTTCATTGTATCCTGGAGGAAAATTTGCTGTAACCCTTGCACACTTTTTGGTGGGTGCAAATATTGTCTTTAGGAAAGTGACTATGTAACGCGACTTGAAACACCAAATTTCTGTTCTACATAGACAAGATCGTCGCCATATTTTGAAAACCCGAAGACCACCAACTGAAGAATTCAAGACAAATTGTTTCAACAATCTAAAGACAATATTTGGATATGGTGATGTCTATTTAGAAAATGACTCAAGATTTCATGAAGCTTAATAAATTTGATGGAGGAAATTTTCGACGCTGGCAAAAGAAGATGCACTTTTTGCTCACCACTCTCAAAGTGGTCTATGTGCTGACTACCCCCTATTCGACAGAGCAAGAAAACGAGACTATGGAGCAAACCTGTACCAGAACCAAATGGGAGAATGACAACTACATTTGCCGACGACACAATCTGAATGCGCTGTCGGACTCTTTGTTTGATGTGTATCAATATCTAGAAACGGCAAAGCAACTCTGGGACATATTATAGTCAAAGTACCTCACCAAGG